AGAAAAGATGTGCAATGTTTGGCAGTATGATTGCAGCTCTGATTCATCGTTCTCCGGGCTCAGGCCAAACCGTGTGCTCGTTTCCATTTGTTATGTTGTGTTATTGATTTAATCATTATTTTACAATTGAATTTCATTGACACATCAGAAGCAACTAATATACGACTCCAACGGAAGGAAAAGCAAGATATAAAAAAAGAAACACTGTTAATTTTAAGTAACATAAAATTGATAATTTTAAAAACATATTTCGAATATTTGTCTTTTTATATATGGCTTTTTATTGTAGTCTAAATTAGGGGCTATGGCCCCTACAGGCCACTAGTTATAGTACATATTTATTGATCAGACAGTCAAAATTTGTAGTTTTGAAAATTGATCTTTTACAGTTATCGTTTGTCTAAGTATAGCATGATTCTTATAGCATTTTTAGTTTCAGAACTGCATCTAAATTTTTTGGGCGTTCCTCCATAGATTGCCAGACCATAAGACAAAATATTTTTATTTTAGAATGTCCAGGTTACATTAGTGACACTGGCCTAAAAACATATAACCCTGAAGAAAGTTTTTGTATTATGATTTGTGTATATTTAAGATTTGTGTCTAGGTTAAGCCCAAAAATTGAGTATGCTTAAGATCTCCTATTTTTACGGGGTAAAAATGGGATTTTCCCATTTTTCACTGTAAAAAGTTGCAATTTATTTCCAAACCATTTTGAAGAGATCATTAAAAAAATAATTTAGTATACAGACGCGTTGTTGTGTGCCTAACGGTTACGGAGAAAATAAAAAAGTGTACATTTAAAATGACCATGTTATTCTTATGAAGAATAAATAAAGTGTTAAAGATTGCTTGTCTATGGAAGTATTTGAGTGAAATTTGGAAATTTTGTCCATATTGAAAAAACCCCGATTTACGAGACTCCGATTTTATTAGACTTTTTGTATATTATTTCACATACCTATTGGAAATGTAAACCTTCAAAAAATCTTTTGAAGCAATTTTTTAAGGTTAAGGGGTTTTATTTCATATCTTGGCTAGACTAAATTTGATCTAAATAACTGTAAACATGGACAATAATACGATTGGAAACATATGAAGTAAAAAAAACATCTAATTAACAGCAGTATTGCCAAAATAAACCTGTAAACATTATACATGTAATTATTTTTGTAATTAACTATTTGTGTTTTATTACTAAACTACAATTGAATGAGCGGAAGCGAATCCTGTGGAGTTTAAAAACAGCTGATTAACAACAGTATTACCAAAATATACCTGTTAACTTTATACATATATTTTTTTTTTATAAACTACTTGTGAACTATTACAAAATAAAAGAATTAAATGAGCATAAAAAAAGTATTGAAACAAATTCTATTACTTGACTCAACACAGAATTCGCTTATGACAAATATGTGTGTGTTTGTATCTGTGGAAACGATGAATTGTTATCCAAGCGATGAATTGTTATCCAAGCGTACCAATTAACAATTAAGATATGGTAATTTTCAGAGTACCCATAAGAATTACATAGTTTTTTTATAACTATCCCACCACCACTTAAGATAATTTAATGATTAAAAATACTAAATTGCATATATTTTTTAAGGATTTACAACATGGGTATAGCACAGACTAGGGATAAAAAGTTTTGTTCCCTATAGTGACTAATATTGAAATAAGTTATTTACTACTAACAACTTAAGACAGAATTTTTACCTATTTTCAACCCCATACAACACGTTTACTGTTTATTATTTATCTTAAATCATGAATAGTTTATAGATAATACAGTTTCAAAGGTTTGTACCAAATTCGGTCTAAATTGGAGGTTCAGAAGAAAATTTACAGGGAAAATAGTAAGGTTTATTATTTTTTCAAATTTTTGGACGCCATATTGGAAAAACCCAATTTCCGAGACTCCGATTTTATTAGACTTTTAGTATGTAATTTAACATACTTTTTGGAAATTAAAACCATAAAAAAACCTTTTAGAGCAATTTTTTTAAGGTTAAGGGGTTTTTTCATATCTCGACTAGACTAAATTGTCCGTTTAAAAAAATATGCCAAAGATAATTTTACCAGATAAGACTGGGACGCATCACTGGCTGTGTATTTTAACCGGAATATGAATTAAAGATGAGTGTGGGATTAATTATATAATATGTTATTGTTGTAATCGATGTATATTATTGGTTTACTTTTGTAGGTTCATTTTTTTCGGGTAGGTTTCGGGTAGGTTCATTTTGAATGCTCGAAACCGGATGTAAACACGGCCGATTGTTCTCGAATTTCCGGCTAGGTCTTACCAATAGATGCCCATCATGCCCATACACAGCACAAATGTCGAAAATGCCAATCGCAGTGCTGGAACGGAGAAATTTAAAAACGGTACTTACTTTAAAAACATGCTTCTTATATAAGTAGGGACGCCATAGAGGTTCTTCGGGGTAGCGGACTTTTATCCCCCTGGAATTTTACCCCCTGGGCAAAACTGACGTCAAAAACCAGGGGGTAAAATTCCGGCCGCGAACTTTTGAGTCGCACATCAATTCGATGTGTCTTTTGCCCGAAAGACGAAAATTGAAAAGGCAGAACAAAGCGCCGTATGGCACTGTTTTGCCTTGCCTTGCCGTGCCCGATGATGTGTGCGGCACCCCCATTTGAAATAATAGAAATCTAGTCGCATAAGGCAAAACGTCGCGCCGTGCCGTGCTGTGCCGCATCAGGTGTGCGCCCGGCCTAAGAAGATGGTCCCACCAACGTTCATGATGAGTGGCCGGCCACACACAGAACCAGGCGGGTCGGGGCACGACAGGGCACGACGAGACGCCTGACTTACTGACTTACTACTAGTAAGCCCTGTCTTGTTGCTGTCACACACAGAATGAGGCAGGGCACGTCAAGTAAAAAGTTTAGCCCCCATAAACCTGAAAATTAATATAGGATTTTTTATTCCTGAGCCTTGAGCCGATTTAGCCAACTTTTAAATTTGACTTTATACTTGGGAGCAGAATAGAAAACAAAATTCAAAGTCATACCTCCAGAGGAGTGGTTTTTGAACCCTTAAGATATGAACGATGGCCCTCTCTTTCCTCAGTTATCAATGCCAAGATAAATTATTAGTTATTCAACCACTGTAGTAATATCATCACTGTATAGTCTTATCAAAGGGTGTAATCTTTGGTCGTATAAATTGTTACAGTCTTGTATGTAAATTGTATCAGTTGTAAAATAATCCTTATCAAAATTAGCCCGTAAGGGAATAAAACACAAGACCGCGCATGCGCAGAAAGTTCTGCCCTGCAGCGACTTGCCTCGGGGCATAATTTTGGAGACCTTCGCATTTTGGCGCTCTTTTCGACGTGCCCTACCTCGCCCGGTCCTGTGTATGGAGCTCCATAAGCGCCCGTGCAATTCCCGTCGCACAAGACGCCCCGGGGCAAAATGCCCTGTCGCGCCCCGCCTTGCCTGGTTCTGTGTGTGGCCGGCCACTCATCAATCATGAACGTTGGTGGGACCGTATTTAACTGCCCTTATCCACTTGCGTACCATTATGGCACTCATAATGTTCTCGCCATAAACTTCACTACTGTCGATGATTTTCAATGACTTTCACACCTTAGCACTTAAAAATCTAACTACAGCGCGCACTTCACAGTCGGTGGCAGTCTCAATTATTGGCGGGACCATTTTGAATGCTCGAATCCGGATGTAAACATGGCCGATTGTTCTCGAATTTCCGGCTAGGTCTTACCAATAGATGCCCATACACAGCGCAAATGTCGAAAATGCCAATCGCAGTGCTGGAACGGAGAAATTTAAAAACGGTACTTACTTTAAAAACATGCCTCGTACTACTAGCGGAGTACCCGTTCTTCGTACGGGGTTGGCGTATAAGTATAAAATGCTTATTGCAGTTATAAGTTACCATAGATAAAAGTTGTCTACTCCTTTTATCTATGGTTATAGAAGGCTTGAGAGAATTTTTATTTATTTACAGATATACAGAATGTATTGTAGGCTACAGATATAGTATAGTATATACAGTATAGTATTACACATCTACCATAGCCATTCATTCTGTTATACCACTGCACCTAAAAATATAAAATAGTAAATTATCAAACATTCACACAATAACACAAATTATGCATTAAATTAAAAACATAAACATTAGTGTAAACAATCCTTGGCAGTTCTCATTGTGTATCACAGCTTTTTGATGCTGCTTACTTCAAATTTGCTGTTACCTTAATTGTAAAAAATTTAATAGTGCTGCACGCTGTTGGTAAACCTTATAACTTTTGAATGCTATTGCATATCATAGAACCAACTTGTTTGGTCGAATCAGCTGACAAAATTAGGCTATTTAATTCCTTTTAAATGTGAATACCCATAAGTTTAACATGGGAAACTCCAGAGCCACTGGAGGAGTTTTGAGATAACAAAATGCCTATATGTTAATCGGGAATGTGAGCCATCATCACCCCAAATTTCAGCCTGATCCAACCAGTATTTTTCGCGTTTACTTGTCATAAACATCCAAACTTTCTCATTTATAATATTAGTAGGATTGAATATCAGGTGGCCCTACATAAAGGTGAACAAGATGGTGCCTAGGGACCCTTGATTTTCAGGGGCCCCGCACAGCCGTATTTCAGGTATTAAGAGAGGCCCGCTACTGAACTTCGCCTTGGGTCCTGCAATCTCTAGAGAGCCTCTACTTACCGGAAGTTCTGGGCAAGAAGTTTTAACCTTAATTTATTTAGTCTTTCTGCAGGTTTTTTGTGGTGGAGTGTTTATAACTGAAGATGCCAAATTTAAAATTGCTACAATTTTGAATTTGTTTTAACTGTTAAGAGTACATGACAAAATCCTCGCTATTTACATGTTATAATGTTGAGATGACATTATGGCTTTTTATTTCTTGTACTTCAAATTATGTAAGAAACTAGTTTCATTAATGGACATTATTTCCAATTTGATTATTCCAGGATATACATGGACATAACCCGTTTGCCCATCTACATCTTGGAGGAGTTGACCGGTTACCTAGGAGGCAGTGACTTGGCTGCGTGTGCTGCCGTCTGCTATCTGTGGAGGGAAGCATTCAATGACAACATTTTCTGGCGCAGACTGCCCACATAGCACCGAATATTTATTTGATATCAAATAGCTATCAAATTTTTGATATTTGAATATCAAATTGATATTCGCGAACATTCATTTGATATCAAATAAACGTTCAATTTAGGTTCAAACGTCACTCAATTTTACGTCAAATGAATATTCAATTTGAATATCTAATAAATGTAAAATTTGACATTCATAAATTTATTGGTAAAATATGATAAAGAGAATATGATTGAATTTACATTCACATTTTAAATATGATAGTGATAAATATTGATATAACATTTTTGACATTCGAATATTAAATTGATATTCGCGAACATTCATTTGATATCAAATAAATGGTCCATTTAGGTTCAACCTCGCTTAATTTGACATTAAATAAATATTAAATTGAATATAAAATAAATGTCTTATAAATTTATTGGTAAAATATGTTTATAAGAATGAGGTTGCATTTTTTCACATTTCAAATTTTATGGTGATTAAAACAATAGCAGTTCAGACCACTGTTCTTACCTTGATTTCACTTATTATTCTGAAGTTATAGGTAGTTTGTTAGAGTTCTTGGGTTACCCAAAAATGTAAATATAGATATAAGTTATATATATATATATATATTTCTTATTTGACAAAGCATTTTAAATTGACCATTCTTTCATCTCTATTATCAAAAATATCCTTAAATGTTAATTTGGTTGGATTCAAAGTGTATTTAAAAATATGCTATTTTGACAAGAGGAGTAAATTTTCAATAATCCAATTAATAAAAATATCACAAAACATATTGGTTTAAAACAAAATTGCATTCAAGGAAAACATTTTATAGAAAAAATGTTGTTTGTATGATCAAATAAGTTTAATTAAAAATTATTTAAATACAAATATAAAAAGATATGTACAATTTACAAAAAAATTAATTCTGGTCTTCTTCATCTCCCAAATGGCTTTCTTGATTTTTCTCTTGTTCCTGTAAAAGAGGTTCAACAGAGTTATTTTCTAAGACAGCTATAGATAAAATATAATATGTTAGACAAGGGGTCTCCAACCTTTTTTTCCTCGGTGAGCACTTTTTCGTCTAAAAACGCCACCGATTTAGCGACTAACGTTAACTGTTCGTTACTCTATCGAATCACAACATCATCTACTATCGATGCGATTGTAGTTGTTGTTTGTCACAGATGCTGTTAGAGGCTTATTGTGATACCGACGAAATGAGAGCATTCTATTATAAAATTAAACTGTCATAACCTAACATAATTAACCAAACTTACTGATAATGAAAAAATGGAATTAAGGTGTACTACGGACGAAATGAGAGCATTCTATTATAAAATTAAACTGTCATAAGCTAACCTAACTTGCTGATAATATAAAAAATATACAAGATAAAAATCGAATGAAGATTAGATTTAACAAGAGCTTAGGTTTGCTGCTATGGAGAAGGTAAAAAGTTTTTTTGAGCATACGTCAATAGTATAGGATAAAGTAAATAAGTTTGCCAAATTTTATCAAAATCTATCCATAAACAAGTAAACTACATCAGTTTCCATTTTTTAATAATCTAAAATATAGTTCTGTTCATAAAATAAAATTATAAATGCCTCTAATTCTAACGAAAGATGTGCAGTTAAGAAGTAATCGCATTCTAAGCAAAATCTTTGACAAAAAGTGCAATGATTTTTAGTGAGAATAGGCTATATAATTTGACACTTAAAATGTCAGCTAGTTTAAGATTTCAATTTGTAGTTCTGCCAATTAGGATCAATTTAAAATATATATATTTAAATTAATCTGCCGCTACTTGACTACTGCTAATATTCCCCTAGGCCTATTGAGAAAAATTTAGCAAGTGAGAGACATTTAATATGTTCCTATTTAAATACGTTAGCCTGCCAACTTGGAGACAGGGAATTGTACACAAATTTTGTTGAATGGGGAAAAGACAGTTAATTGCTCTTAATTATGGTATGAGCCGCGAGGTAAATAAATATCCCATGGCTGAGCCTGCATTCATTGACAACGTTCTCTTTTTACACCTCAAGGAAATCACGGTCAACAATGACGGGTGTTGCTGGGATTGCAAAAGACAATCACGGCACCGTCGAGACTGCAGTATAATATGCTCATGAGTCTTGGCGAGATCACGGGAGATGATCACGGTATAGCTGAGACCACATGACCACACGTGTATACGCAATCGTGGGAGAATATCATTGGTGTTTGCTATAAAAAATAATAATTTTCAAAAACGTATGCTGGCTTTCTGCTGGCTGGAATAAAACTGCACGAGGGCCGGATGTAGCCCGCAGGCTGTAGGTTGGACACCCCTTGGTTAGACACTTTAAAGACCTATTTTTTTACTATAACTGTACCTTATAATTAAATTTATCGATAAGGCATTGAGTTCTTGACAATAAAGAAAAAAGAGATGGATACAACCGCAAATTAACCCTCCGAGTGTCCCTAGTTTTGGCCTTAATGTTTGCCTATTTTTTGCGCATTTGCAAGGTTTTATTAAAACGGATCTGAGAAACTTAAAAACAATGTTAATTATACTGTTCTGTATACCATTTTGTTTGGAAAATCATGGGCTTCAATATTATACATAAAACATAAGGAACATTTGTTTCAAAACAAATTTTTAGGTAAAAAAAAAATAAATTTGCGCTCAATGAAATTGTATACATTATAGGCCTATAAATATTTGAAAATAGCCGCTTTGTTCTAAATTTTATGAGGATTACAAATATATAATAATATAAGGAAGTAGATTTGCAAATAAATAGGTTATGGGCAAAAAACAGATTTCAGTAGGCCTACATAGCGTTTAGCTAAGAATGCATAGCCCTACCATAGCTAGGAATCTGGCTGATAATTTACATCAATATCACTACCTACTTCTTCAGGATCATCAACCAGCCCTTCAAAATCACTTAAATCTTATTATAATGCACCACGTATATCACTACTTTTGATTTTTAACACTAAAACAATGATAAACGTAATAAAACACATCAGTCGTCGGTGCGAGGTTAACCAAGCTGTTTACAAATACGCACGTCAGCTGTCTGCTACAATTATGATCGGCTCGAGAAAAAAAGCGCTTAGAGACAGACCTCGGGAGAAAGCTTAGAATCTACCAAATAAAACGATACCTAACTCGATCCAGTTCAATCCGATTTTGTCAGTCGTAGAGCCTTCGCCGTAAACAGTGTTTGTGAGTCGAAATTTCGACACAAAACACTACACAAAGTGAGTTATGTGTCGAAATTTCGACAAATAACACTCGGAGGGTTAAGTTTTGCTCATTTGCATAGCCTGTCACTGAAAATTCACAATTGTAAAAGAAAACATCACAGTAGTTAGATGTAGGCCTACTCTGTTAATTATAATAAAATTTAAGTTCTATATTAGGTAATTAGATAAGCAATCTTTTCTTTAACCTAAATTATAAATAACACAATAAATTTACCTTGCATCAATCCTAAACTTTGCTGGGCGAAGCCAATTCTTGATTATAGTAGCAACAACATATTTTCCATTACACCACGATCCTAGTGTTCTTGCGTACCGGTACTGCCTCTGTATAATAAGAGATTAGTATTAGCACTAGAATTTGTATACTTTCATTTTCCTGATCAGCACCCAGGATAGCCTACAACTAGGTACACATATTAAATTGTTAGTGAAATCAGTTTTATATTTTGATGGTCTTTGCTTCTTTTGAGTAGCCTTGTTAAAGCTAAATCTAAATCTGAAAATTGAAATTTTTTACCTAGGTAGTGGTAAAAGTAATCCTCAGTCACTTAAACGGACAAATATTGGGGTGAGCACTGACTGAAATGAGTGCAACGGTCGGATGTAGATTGGTGTGTGTATAGGCCTATGTGTGCGTTTAAAAAAAATTCAACTAATACAGTTTTCTTTTACATAAGTTAGCACTGCCGGAATATTTATTTAGTGTAAGTTAAATCAGAGACTTCCTATATAGCCTAAGTGGGTCACAAAAAAGAGAAACTCTCTTAACTGTGTGATGAACCTTAGGCTACGTTAATACCCAATAGGTTTACCTATCATGAATTAGGTTGTGTTTTGGCGGTAGGGCCTAACTTACCTACAGTTCCCAAGAGAACCTGCGATATATTATCGGACGGTATATATATCCGATTCGATATTAATATTGCAAAACCAGATCACCAAATCTGCAAATCATAACTCAATTTGATGTTTACATAGTGAAAAAACATAGGGAACGATGTATTGAATCGGATAATTATTGATATATAATGTTATTCATCCGATAATATATCGTAGGTTCTCTGCGGAACTGTACCCGTTATGGCAAAAAAGAAATACTTTGAGAAAACCTAATTGAAATATATGTAAGTCTACCTATTATTAATGTCTGATTGTAAATAAACAAAAAAAAACTTACGCAAGATAGCTGGCCTCAGATGCAGATTGCAAAAGAAAAATTTATTCCTCCTTCCCAGCCTACAGGCTGCTAGACAGCCACTTTGTCACTCGGGAGAATTGGTAGGTCAATTATTCACTGCTACCAAATAATAACTTCCACCAAAGCTGCAGAGTTATCAACTGAAACAATGGAGAGAAAACTACTTTTAGTTAAATTCATGCATACCTTTCTCTGGCCTAAATGTCTATTAAGATTAGTTAGGCCTAATCTTTGGTTGGTAAAGGAAGCAGACAACAACTAAAATACAAAAGACTAAGAGACAATACAGGGGTAGACTTTCCTTAACTGTTGTCAAAAACAACCGAATGAAAATATCGATCGTTATATATTCATTCAGTACAAATCATAACAACAGATAACATAACGTTTGACAACAGATACGGAAGTGTACCCCAATTCAGTTTAAAATGAAAATGGATTTCAAATAGGCTACACTATTTCTTTTATAATACCGGTAATTGTAACCTGGTTGAGGTAGAATAAGTTAGGCCTAGGCTAGCCTAAATTAAGTTAACTTATTCTTGATGGTGAATTTACCTAAACTTAAGTTAGTGACTGACGTAAAATATAACCCACATAACTTAGTAATATTTCAAAATTAACAAATGGTATTCCATTTGCCTTGTAAACCAGTAAGTTAGTCCTACTTACTAGCCTATATATTGAACACTATTTTCATCCGGAAGTTGCCCTAAGCTAAATAAACTACTGGTTCAGTAAGAACTAAGCAAGTCGCCTAACTTAGTAGCTTATGCCTAGGCCTAATTTGTATGCATAAAAATACTTCCTCTAAAACTGATTGTCTATTTTGAGGTTTCAGATTTATTTATTTATACTTAAGGCATTAGGAATGATAAGTTGGCCAATTTAATTTATACAGTAACTTAGGGCTAGGTAAGGCCAAGGCCTAAAATACGTCTACTTAAAAATGTTACTGTACTAGGTATAGTGACTTTTATACTTACATGCTCCAAAGGATCAAAACGTGAAAAGATGTTCGGTGTAGGTTATGCCAATACCCAGTCACAAAAATAACAACTCCTAACAGTGACACACACTAAACAAAAGATCAAAACACTTAATTTAACTGATTTGAGGTTATGTCTTGTTCTTGATGCTCTTGTTGCTTCCATAGTTTATTTTCACTACTTGTGTAGCCTACTCAACAAGTTAGTTGTCATAGGTAAATTTTACATAAATCGTGTACTTTCCCTCAAAATGGGCAATTTGTTGGTTAATAAATAAATCAACACAGTGAGTAAACTGGCCACCACTGGTCGCGCGACGGATTTTGTAATTTGTGTTGTGTTGTAATGTTTTGTTTTGTTTGCTGAGCTGAGTTAGGTTAGAATTAAGTTGGTGCCTTTCATACGAATGGCCCAAGTCAAGCTCAAACCAGATACTTAACATATTTTTAGAGTTATATTACACTTTAAAAAAATTAAATTTACTTTTGGTTTAATTTACTAGTAAAAATAAAATGATAAGGCCAATCTTTAAGTTTGACTTTTTTATTAATAAACAATACTTTAAAAAAAGCTGTGTTTCCTATTCACTCTTCTTGAAATGTGTAGTAAGCCTACATTCAGAAAAATATCAGATGTTGCAACAACTCCCCCCCCCCCCCGCGAAAAGTCAAAATCCATCATCAATTAATTAAAAATTACAGTGTTCAGTGTTCCTTCCTATTATTAATTATTTTGAGATAATTGACCTCCGACCTCCATGTTACAAACTGTAGGCTGGGGACTAATTCTTTACTCTAAAAAAATTTAAAAGTTAAATCTAAAAAATTTCAAAACTTTAATTTGGAAATTTTCAAAGAGAAAATCAAATTTTTAACATTTAGAATATTCATTTAATATTCTAAATTTGATGTTATTTGACTTTGATATTATGAAGATACAATAAATATTCAAAGTTTGACATTGTTTGACTTTGACATTTTGAACATTAAATGAATATCAAATAAATATCAAATTTTTGATTTGACATAGTTTGATATATTGAACGTTTATTTGATATCAAATAAATATTCTGTGCTATGTGGGTGTGTTACCGAGACATTGTCAGTTACCTGGAGCAGGTGGACTCCAATGTAAAACCTCTACTGCAGCTGCCCACACATGACTGTGACACACTCGAGGTAGGCCCACAGTAACCTCTAACAAACCTAATGTTTCATTCAACTTGATGTATCTTAATATCATAGGATGTTATGATCATTTAGATTCCAGCTTATGTATCTTAACAGTACCATATATATATATATATATACCTATGTGTGTGTGTGCGTGTGTGTGTGTGTGTGTGCGTGTATGTGTGTGTGTCTGTTCGTGTGTCCATTAGCGCGATAACTCGAGCAAAAATGATCCGATTTTGATCAAATTTGGTACAAACGTTTAAACCTACGTTTATTCGAACGAGCTTGCGAACCAGCATAATCGGTCCATGGGAACAGGGGTTTATGATGGGGTGATTTTATGGGGTAAAAGTTGGGTTTTCCCATTTTTTTACCCTATTAGTTCCAAACTATGTCAGAGCATTAGCTAACATCTGATCAAGTCGAAATTTTTGTACCAAATAATTTTATCACTGCTAGTATTAGATGTAGGAGTAGTAATAAGCAAACCATTGTCTACGGTGACAGGCAGTTGAGGTTCATTTTAAATTATTACTAAACCTGTCAATCACATACGGTAACATATTCCTGCACAAACTTAATCAATGCCTTAAATTATCTTTTGTCTATGTCTTCTCTTTTTCTAAATGGAATCGCAGTTGACAGGAGCTGTGTGAGTGGCGTGTTCGTTTCATGAGACAGGCTCATGTTATACGCAACTGGTACAATGTGAGATACAAACTACAGACAATCTACACTTATGATTCTACAATCAAATACAGTGGTCATGTGCTGACTGATTCTGGGGATCACTGGCTGATCATCAGCACTCGCTCTAAAACACAGGTAATGAGTATAATACCTAGAATCCAATATCTTGTAGACCACTACTATGCTGAGGTCTAATTTCACCGAATTCATTTTTTTTTCTAAGAGTGTGTACTGTTGCATGAAACACGCAAACCAGACTACTTGTCCCATTTATACTGACCGTCAGGCAACCGGCATCTTTTGTAACACCTCGTGTAATCAACTTTTCTTTGACTTTTCAGTCTCTCCAAACATCATTTATGACAATTTTGCTAGACTTTCTATGTTTTTGTAGCAGATGATAAAGAAGTGCTTGGTATGAAATATCGCTCCTCGAAGCTAAAAAATGCGGAATTAGTTCAAATTTATGTTTTTATTCCATGTTAAAAGCCTTGATGCAATGATGAATCAAACAAATTTCATTAAAATTAAAATGTATAAAGAAGCAATGATCAGCAGCTAAATGATTCTCCATTTGGATAAAATGAGAGTAATAAGTGTGTGTTTTTTTGTAAACCCTGTATGTTTTGTGTGATCTGTCCTTTGACTGCGTCGATTGTGGCATCCTCTTGAAAAACTTGAATTTTACAGAGTAATTGGTGTCCAATAATGTCCAAAAATCTCTATTCAAAGAAAGTTCAAATCTTACCAGTAATCAGCTACAAAATTTTCTCAAACTCCAATTTTTCCGGTTTTCTTAGTCAAATTCAGGGTATTACAGGGGTCGGTTCTGGGACCTCACTGGTTTTTTCATTATTATTAATGATCCGGAACCGGAATCACGGGCGCACACAGGGGGGTGCACTTGCACCCCCTGGCTAAAAAATAAGAAATAAATTTAATACCTATAATGTTCTGTAATCAATTAGGTTCGTTAAGGAATTCATAAAAAAGTATGTTTATAATGGTCATCTAAGAAATTTTTTAAATTGATGTTTTAATCAATTTAAAATAGGTGAACAAAATAGGAAGTCCCTCAAATAAGTAGTTGACTCATAGATGTGCCATTCTTTTACTTTAACAAAACTATTCAGAAAATAAAACATAAACTTTCTTGGCTGTTACCTAGGCTTTATTACACTGTGATTTTTTTCTTTAATTGTTTGGCTTGTGGATTTGAAATCCATGGTTGACCCCAACTCAACCAACTTAACTGTGGTAATATTTTAACTGCCACTCTAGACATGTTTTTATGTAAGTCAGCAGATTCTAAACTAGACCAGCTTATTTTAACTTGGTCATTTAATCAAATTATCTTTGTTATTTAACTTAGATCCTACCATTACTTTATTTGTTTGGTACTATGATTGTGATTTGTGATTGTGGTAAGTATGCTAAAATTCTCAAAATGATGACCGTAACTACATTGTAAAATGTTTAAAGGACAATAAAAATTCTTATTCTCATTCTTAGTTAGGGGCCTACCTTGTTCCCTATGGGGAAGTTGGTTAAAAACTATTTGAATTGTTGTGCTACTTATCATATTCATTCGTAATGTTTACTCAAAAAAATTAATATAATGTGTATTGTTGGTCAGGTGTGGGATATACAGCGTATAGGCCGCGGTAGTCAACTATGGGGAGTCATTTGTAGCAGGAGTGGGAGAGCTCATGTTGAGGGCAAGTCACAACCTGTTAGAAGTATTCTCTCCAGCTGATCTGCTCGCACCTCAGAACAGTCAACTATGGGGAGTCATTTGTAGCAGGAGTGGGAGAGCTCATGTTGAGGGCAAGTCACAACCTGTTAGAAGTATTCTCTCCAGCTGATCTGCTCGCACCTCAGAACAGTCAACTATGGGGAGTCATTTGTAGCAGGAGTGGGAGAGCTCATGTTGAGGGCAAGTCACAACCTGTTAGAAGTATTCTCTCCAGCTGATCTGCTCGCACCTCAGAACAGTCAACTATGGGGAGTCATTTGTAGCAGGAGTGGGAGAGCTCATGTTGAGGGCAAGTCACAACCTGTTAGAAGTATTCTCTCCAGCTGATCTGCTCGCACCTCAGAACAGTCAACTATGGGGAGTCATTTGTAGCAGGAGTGGGAGAGCTCATGTTGAGGGCAAGTCACAACCTGTTAGAAGTATTCTCTCCAGCTGATCAGAACAGCCCCAAGTTTGAAATCAAACTGACATTCGCTTGCTTTATAAACTCTAGCGACAAGTTTCCAAAATCTGTCGAAACAACAAGCGACGTTACGAAAGTCCTTGCTAAATCCTCCAGATATGATTTCAAGAACCCGTTTGATTACTTTACAATGGGTAATATATTTGTAGGATATCAACCAATTCCTAGTAGGTTATGGGTGAAACCTCGAATCCATTTTTGGGATATCGCATCAGGAATGAAAATACACGATGATGCTGTACCAAGGGTTTGTTCATATTGCCTCGTTATGAAAGGGGACACAACAAAGCCACTGATACTTGTGTATGCTTTTAAATCATCTACTTTTAAGAGCAGAAGTATTAAGTTTTCACAGATATACCTCTACAACATCAAGATTATGAAATACACTGGTTTCCATGGCAATGTCCAAGCCAAAGTTTTGTGGTGGGGGATGTCAAATGACATTTTGGTTACTAGACAAGAAAGGTCTTTTAATTTCTTCAATACCAAATCTGGAGAATTTCTTTCAGGTATAGACATGGATTTGAAGATGAATGTCTTTGATAGTGATTTGAGGAATTCACAATTCATATTAAATGGACAAATGCTTTATGCTTCAAAGTATTACCTCAAATCAATCAACATGGAATCGCAAGAGAATATTCTTTGCATTGACTTGAATTATATAATTTACTCACTATACAATATTAGAGGAAGGTTTATGATAGTATCTTCTAAGTCTTCGAGTGAAGTATGGGAAATAGAGTCCAAAGAGATTATATTCAAACTGCCTTATCTATTTATCGCTGATTTTAAAATAAAGACTGATGCTTGCCCTATAAGACTTGTAGCTCAGTCTCAAAATGAAGTCAGTGTCATCAACTTTTGGTAATATATCAAACACACACATTTCAAAAGTATATAATATAGCTAAAATTATGGTGTTCTATGGTTCTTTTTTAATGTTGGTGAGACTGTGGCTCAATCGGTAGTGCCAAAGACTTCTGGCCCGAAGCAGGGGTGTCGTGGGTTTGGATCCTGGTGCCTGCCACTACTTTTTATCAGTACAGTTCACCTTTGTACTGTACCGGCTCACCCCTTGCTTTGCTGGATACATTCCACGTACATGCCACTATGCTCATGCATGAACGGGCAATAATGATAAGTAAAAGAAGCCACCGACCCCTTAAAAATTATAAATTTGTATCACAATCTTGCACTTAAATATAAAGCATAAATATGCAACCATGCTGAAAAAAATCTTTGTGTTTGTGGAACTAAAACAAGATTTCAAAAATTAAAATCAATCTCAGATTTTAAAAGCACGAAAAGGTTTTGTGATTGATTGCTTAAGAGCACAGTTGCTTTGGAACACATGGTAGCTGCAGTCATAAGGAAGGAAAGTAATTCTCTTGATTTTGTACAGTGATTGATGGTTAATGAAAGATTTTCTGTATATTAGATCAGCCAGTCTATTATAAAAGACCGTCCTCAGGTGAAAAAACAACTTAACTAACACATTACAACTAACAATACATAAACGCCCAGCCCAACCTAAGTTGGAATACACTACAGAGAGTAGCAGTCAATTATATGCACTGTATAGCTGTCAAGTCATGATACAACATGCAAATAATAACCAATCACAAAACACTATAGTCTATAAAAGGTGTTGGGTAAACACCTCACCTCACACAATGGAACACTAATCTCAAATTTTGCAATGACTCCATCAATGAGACTGCAACAGCACCCAGCAACAGCTGGGGGGGAGGACTTAAATATACCTTTTAAAGTATATTTTTACAAGCCATAAAGTGTATGCATGTTGGCGTAAACAATATGTAGTTCAAGTCAGTCCAGTGAGTTCAGACCAAATGTAAACTACATAGTTGACACCGGTCCGTAGCAAAAATCCTTACTCAACCATAGTTGATCTGGTCTGTGGTGAAGGATTTTTTTAACATGTCGGTAGCGAACTTGCTAAGGGTTAAAATGAAGTTTACACTTTGTAACCTAGAGTAAGAGGTGAGGGATTAAAGAACTATACTCAACATAAATTGGATCTAAATTATTATCAACAGTTATGATTAAATTGTAATGTAATTGTTATTATGTAAAAGGTGTATTTTTATTTTAATGTTTTACAATCCCAAAACACAGAACAAAACATAACAAGTTTGTTTTGCAATGAAAAGTTTTAAAATGACATTAATTAGTTAGATTTAGAATAATTGTTCTGCTTTAGCCAAAATAGTTTTGTAGTGGCAGTCAGTATTTTTAAGTTCGTCTTTTTTCGTTTAAGTTATACTAAATCGTTTGTATGAAAATATTTATGTAGATGTTGTAATATTTCATGCCATTTCATTCATTATTTAGTATTAAGTTTCTTAAAATGTTAACTTTTGTTCATACACCTTTGTTAATAATCACTCCTCAGAAAGGCTGGCCTAATATTCATTTCCCTAATTTATATAATTTCATTAATCTGTTTAATTAATCATTAATAATATTCATTCCATAGCCTATATATATTTTTTTTTACAAAGCCCACAACTTAGTTATTTATTAAATATGTAAGAGAATTGCAATACATCAAAATTTTTTATAATATCATTTCAAAATTAGTCCTTAAGGAATCAAAATTTAAGAAGCAGTGAAAGTGATCCATGTGTTCAACAATGAATTATGTGAACATTGAAATTGGAAGAGACGGAAGCCATTGGAGAAGTTGAAACTGTTAGTTAGAAGAAGGAGTCCAAATTTTATCTAAATCAAATTCATTAATATTATCAAGAAGACCAGTTTATATCAAGTTATATCACAGAGCCTCAACTCAAGAGGACTCAACTCCATCATTGTTATCTTCAAAATTAAGTATAAACTTTTCTTTTTAAACTTTTTTTAAATTCAGTGCTAATTGGACTTACCTTTTGGACAACATCAAAATTAGATTTTTTTCATTGTTGGGATTTGTAAGTTAACACCTTAATTAGGCCTATTTGGACACTATTAAATTTTTTAATTCTTAGCATTCAAGCCAGCACGACACCCTACCCTGAGATATATCACATCTAAATTATTTGAACCTTTATTATTCAAACTTATCTTTTATTTCATTTTAATTTCAACACCACACACCATTGTCAGTCCTTTCATTGTAACGTCAAGCCTTTTCTCATTGCATGTTAATTAATCATTTGTTTAAATAAAACACCTTTTGTAATTCATATATCTTTGTTAACTTATTAACTTTAAACATTTATAGAATAGGCCTAGCCTAAAATGAATATTGTAAGGTGAGTTTACAATGTACCTATTTGTATATTTTACTTACAACCATTACAATTATCGTTTATTAAATTATCAGTATCATGTTATCTTAATTAAGTTATTTTTATTTTGTAGAGTTTAAACAAAGAAAGAAGAAGTTAATGATCATTAATATCCAAGCCTTTCCTTTAATTAAATAGTTTATTAAGAAAAGACAAAACAAAAATTTTTAATATAATTTCCTGATTCCCTTAGTATCTATCTATGTTTTAAACCTAATTATAAATATTCAAAACTATATCTTTATAAATAACACCGGCATGCTGCCGGTCAATCAATTCAAATGATGGTATGTGTTTTGTAAAATTTAACATTGCTATTGTGGGACTAAAATCCAATATGGTGATGAAGACTCTTAAGTTTTAATTTATCCATCTTTCTCTTCAAATTTTTTGTTTTATTTTATTCTTTTTAAGAGGTTGCTCTTTTAACCTTGCATTTGCCCGTCCACATAGACTACAGATCTGTGCGTGGAACGTATACTTCAAAGCAAGGGGTGAGCCGGTACAGTATGAAGGTGAACTGTACTGAAAACACACACACATACAACCACATTCCTTAGTAAACAAGAGGATACAAATAAAAACAGCTGTCCAGAGACATGCTTTAGCAACAGAATTTTGTTGTGACAAATTAATAATACCATAGATAACACTTACTCCCTTAGTAGACTTCCCATCCTTATGGAACAGCTGAAGCCAATGTTACTGTTAGTTCTGTCCGGTGTACTGTAAGAGTCGTGTTTTGTTTACAATTTGTTTCTTGCTATTTCAGTAAAATTTATACAACCTCATTTAACCAAATACAACTATCTAATCATAAACAATAACTTGTCCACTAGCTATATAACCAAACTGTGAGGCACAAATCATGAGAAACTAACCCTAAAATAATATAAACAAATTGTAAACAAAACACGACATCTACAGTACACCGGACAGAACTAACAATAAAATTGGCTTCAGCTGCTCCATAAGGATGGGAAATCTACTAAGGAGTATGTTTTATCTATGATAATACTAAAGGTCGTTCAGTGGTCGAAAACTCAACCAAAAATATGTAATGTACAGACGTCTCTATTTTCACTGCATGCTGTAAATAAAACTTGTGATTGGAATTTCTTTAATTTATTTTGAATTTTCTGTTTATATTTCGTTGTTATTTTGTCACCTATGTGTAAGGTCCATAATACAATCGCTATAGCGGTATAGCTGATCCAAATCCAATTTAAAAAATCAGCTTAAGCTTACAACTTTTTAAATATCATTAAATGAACCTTTTTATGAATTTCTCTAGCCAGATGAAGGAGATCCAGAACACAGTTCCACTATGTTTTCCCTCAAATTGGGCCTGAAATGTTTACAACTAATGTATCAAATACAAAATGTAAACATTTCAGTTAAATAAACAAATATAAACAGTATATTTTATCACTAGGGTGTAAAGTGACTCTTATCGACCCGAGCTCAAGTTTTACAAAAGCGAAGCCAAGGTCGGAAAATGAGCGAGGGTGAAAGACACTTTTTGCCCATTTGATGAACCATATTTTTTGTCATATTGCACCATTAAACAAACTAAGTTAGAAAAAAAAAATTACTTTTCATGTAAAGATAACCTCTTAAAACTACTTCAAACTTGTTTTCAACAGGCAGCTGTTTAGTATGTAATTCAATTATTAAATTTCGTCTATTACGATTGTGTTAGTGTAAATTATACTATTGATGTGTCGAACTATTGACAATAAGCTAACCATTTAAAATTATTGATATACACTTTCGATACATGTGATTGCTTACAATCAAAATTTACATCTGAGTTTACAGCAGCTGACTTATACTCCCTAGGGACTAAAATGGGAAAAGGAGCTGCTTTTGACCCGTAATGAATGTATTAAAAACGGATGTTTTTGCTGCAGTATGACCAAAAAGATATTTGACAATAGTACCACCATAGACAAAAAGAATTAAAGATAGGTTCCGCTGGGAGCGCTATGTAGTTACGGCGTTAGCACTACGTAACTACACAATGCTCCCAGCAGTGTGCGCCAGAACCTATGGTAACCATGGTAACCGTAAAACGGCTGACAGTCTATATTTCATTCTTTTTGTCTATGGTACCACATACAATAAAGTTAAGACTCTTGCCTTTAGGAGCTCTATAAATAGGACTTTGTATTGACAAGCAAGTGAATTTTTAAAATATTGAGAATTACTCCGTAAGTTTGGGTTATACCTTTGTTATACTTTAAGATAGTGAGTAAATAATTGGTTTAAAAATGTACATTGTTTTTATTTACAAATCAACCAATACAAACAAATGAAATGATTTATTTTAAATTAAATTATATCTTGTAAACAGTTTTTTTTTCATTATTTAAAAATATTACTGAAGTACAAGGACACTTGATTTTCAATTTTCAATTGAGTAAAATAATTTATTTGGTAGGATTCTTTGCATTCTAGATTTTAAAAATAACCCTTTTCATGTGGCTCTGGGGTGCTGCAAGTCAGCCTTCTACGTTGAGCTCTGTATCTGATGACTACTCTTCCTTCTCTTTAACTTGCTCTGGTTTCTCAGTTGACAACATTCTCTTAAAAATGGCTCGTCGTCTCATCTCAATGCGTCCCATGCGACGGTGGTCTCTGATGATCCGATGTATCATCTGTGTGTCAACTTCTCTCTCCAGGAGGTGGGGGAAGTACTGAGCCACAACACTCAGCAAGTTATCCTTGAGTCTGCGATCCAGCTGTCTGCTTTTCACCTCATACATCTTCACTTCATTTACCAGAAGCTCGTACAAGTTCACTGGTCTGGTCATTCTTATGAAGATAGGCTTATGGACCTACAACAATTATCCTGTTTGGAAATTACATTTCATGTCAACTTTACAAACGTCATATGGTACCACATGTATACCAGTTTGTGTGGGACAGTTTATAATGATCAATTTTAAAAGTTATATGCCACAACTCTAAGTATATTATTGGATAGTTCAAAATGTAACTATGCCATAGACGTTTTTACATTTATTCTACAATTCTTTTTAGTATACAACAGCAAATTTAAGGCAGAGTTCTGAAGAAGGGTTCTGGTTCAAAGCAAGGCCGTAGCCAGGACAAACTTTCGGGGGGAGGGTCAGGTCAGTGGCGGTTCTAGGACTTTGTCAAGGGGGCTTGGGGGGTGTGGGCCATGGAGGTCCTCCCCAGGAATTTTTTTATATTTTTTAAGTAGTTTAGCGACTTTCTAAAGCAATCTTTAACGCCTAAAACTGTCTTCAACCGTAAAAAAACTCCCATTTAACCTGTTGTTTGTCCTAAGCAAGTAGACTTTTACAAATTTAAACTATGACGATTGCATTTATAACTTTCTAACCATTCTATAGGCTACGGATATCCTCCTAAAACAGTTTGGTACTTTCTTTAGCCCCTGTAGCCTCCCTTGGAACCGCCACTGGGTCAGGTCATGACTGTGGATAACAGATTTAAGCACTTTCAAACACCAATTCCCGTGCTAAGTAAAATATAACAGGATAATAAATATGTTTTGTTTGAGTATTTTTGTTGAACCTTCATCTATATATTTAATACGCTAGGCATATTTTGGTCATAAGGGTACGTCCACAATGCACGCTGGTTTTCTGAGTCAGACTGTCGGCGCCGATTAAGTCAGACTCGGCGCGCTTATCATCACATGCTAGTAAACGTAAGCGGCCATAGTGCACCACTGCACCTGCGCGCCGATTTTCTACGCGCAGGTAGTCTGACTCAGATTTTTACCGGAATGAATTGTTCATTCTGGTTTCAGACAACCTGCTTATATCGGACTGTTGATTTTTGATTTTGTATTGAGTGTATAAGTTTTTCATTACATTAACCATGGATATCGACAAATTGCTATCAAACGTTCCAGCATATTGCAATAAGCGCATCAAAGTGCATAATTTTTAACAAATATCTGCTGATTGAATTAAATTGTTTGTAATATTGAATTTTTACAAAATAAGCAATTTAACTTACAGAAATAAATTTAGTTACTTCAACGGGACATGCTATTTCAAGGTTTTGTGATATTTTCCCCAGTTTTTGGCAAGCTTGTGCTCATTTTTAAGAAGGTGTTCAAGCTCATTCTTAAATATTAAAAAACCTGTTGACGTCTGCAAGAAGTTAATAATATGTATAAAACCTGTATAAAATATGTATAAATATGTATATAATATGTATGTATCAATGTACAGTATCCCTTAAATAGGTCTCAACACAGACAGGTCCGGCTGACAACCTGCTTGCATTATGGCCACCTCATCTGAGTCACACACTCGGCACCGAAAATCTGAATCTGACTTCCTGCTTATACCAGCGTGCATTGTGGACGTACCCTAATTGTTTAAGAGCGGTGGTGCTACCGATCACCATATCCAAGGTGTCGTTAGAAAGGTCTTAACATGTAGATTTACCATCAAACAAAAAAACTTTGAAATTTCATCAGGGCTCTGCCCCAGTGGCGTTCAAAGTTTCCGTGTTATTCTTATGGAGAAAATTGTTTGTTTACATTTCAACAGATGAATACTTTGAAATTGTCACTAATATTTGAAACAGCTGGTTGTACTAAAATTGGAAGAATATTATTATTATTATTATTATTATTATTTGTTGTCATGAGAGCCGAAGCCCCCTGACTGCTTACCCGGTACCTATCCTTCAGGACATACCCGGGCCCCATGATGTAGGCCGAAGCTTACGCATCAACCTTTAGCACATCATGGGCGGATGACTTAAGGTCATCAGGCTCGCCGGCTGCCGAAGCAGACCCTTCGGAAAGAGGGTTGCCCCTCAATCCTAACCAGGGATTCCGGCTGCTTGTTTAAGCGTCACTCCACCTGGGTTCCACTAGGTCGGAACCTAGAGGTCCATAGTAGAGCGCCCCGACGCATTTAGTGCAAGCAACACTCGGGACCTATCTCATCCCTGACAGGCAGAACCCGCCATCAATAGCCAGGAGGAAGGGGACCATCAGCACGCTGACGGGGGGAACCCCAACCTCCCATTTACACCGCTGCCCGATCGAGGCCTGACCCATTGCTGGGAACCAGAGATATCCAGAGCGATAGATCCCCAGATACCCCTGGCGGGCTCGGACCCAGCACCCGATCTACTTCGTTTGCCCGTCAGACCCAACATCACTGCCAGGCCATCAGGGTTTCCCAAAAGGAGGCAGGTATAGAAGTGGGACCCACCCGGATGAACCTATCCACCAGAGGTGGCGACACCCTTGACTCAATTGAGGTTCCGGGAAGAACCCCCCACACTCAAGATAACCATACCGTCCGTGCTCAGAGACAGGGATAGGTTTGCATAAGTACCTACAAACCGTTGCCCTCACACTGCGGAAAGTTACGTTGCCCTTGAGTGTCCCCGTGAGCTGCGGGTACTTGCCCGTTTTCACCTCCAGGAAAGGTTACTTCCAAAGTCGAGGATTTGCCCACTGAATGCTGGTCGCACACCACAAGCAGGCCGAAGCCCAAAGTACCACAGACACAGGTAGGTTAGAGATTATGATGTACTTCCATCTCTCCTAGAGCTAAACACCCCTCCATCCTGGATAAAGGAATGTCACTGGGACCCGATGCCCAGTCGACCATGTCTGTGGCCAACTTGAAATGCCGATACCAACACGGAGCATTTACCTCCCCTCTGGGGGCTAGGTATTTCACCTCCCAGGACGAGGCTACTTCCAAAGTCGAGGATATGCCTCACAAAATGTCAGTCGAACACAACAGGTAGGACTCAGTCACAACCACAGTTACAGGTAGTTGAGGAGAGGCGGAATTAACGGCGTCACTGAGAGCTAAACACCCCCCCCACCCTGAATGGAGGGAATGTCACTGGAGGCTCCCCCTAAGGGGCTGGCGCTTACCAGTCGTCCATAACTGTGGTCTACCTGAAGTGCCGGGTCTGACACCGGGCAGTTACCTCCCCTCTGGGAGAGCTAGGGTCCGCGTGGTCGCCCAGGCCACGAACCCACGCAAGCGTGAGCCCCCTGCGGTTAAATTGGAAGAATAGTTGAAAAGATTTATGTTTCACTAGTTCACCAGTTTTTATTCCCACAAAATCAAAATATAACCAAAAACGTTCGACATAATGGAGGCCGACGAACTTTAACTGGTACTGCCTGCAGTACACTATCGCCGAATGTAGGCGAACTAAGACGAACGCGATAGTGTACTCGGTGTGCTCGTGTACATTTGGGGTGGTTCGCATCGCCAACATTCGTGTTCGGGTGCGCTCGCTTTTTAGGCGGTCTCCCGTTGCGAATCAAAGGAGACGAACTAGGACGAATGTTGAGCGCAGACGGGCACGAACATAGCCAGTACACACTCGCTGTCATTCGTACTCACTGACGCTCTCCTTATACTGTATTTGCTGCAGTGGTTGTGTAGTTACAGTTACTTTTAGTTTTTGTTATTTAATTATTTTCTACTAGATCTTTTATAGATAAATTACTTGTACAAAGTATGGAGTGTTCTAATGAGGAAACGCTGTTATTTTTGGAACTATACCATAGTGAGCCTGTTCTGTGGCCGTGGGATAATTTAATTGAATATATACGTATATAAAGTATCGCTTAGTAATACAAACATTTTAATAAAAAAAGCAAGCATTAATTTTAAATTATTAAGCCACAGAGAAGTAAGAAACTTAGGATACATTCAAGTGGTTTTAACACCAAGCGGAAATTATAGAATTTCCTCTATAATTATCTAAAATAGTCTTCGACGTTAGTGTCCATGTTGCACAAAGTTTGGTGCGAATGTTTTGCCGCGAATACGCAATATAGGGTTCAGCAAAGATCGGCAGAAGTTAGCCGATAGTGTACTTGGTTAGTTCGGGATGGTTCGGGCTGTGCATTCGTCAACAATCGTGGTCGCAATCTGACCCGAACATTCGGCGAAACATTCGGGCGAATGTTCGGCGATAGAGTACTGGTAGCTGTAGACGCTAACGACATATATAATACTATTGTCGTTGATAGCCGAATACAGCAAGCACCCTTCCGTGTTGGGTTTAACCCTTAACTCCTCGCGCGAGTTTTACTAGCGTATGTACTCGCGTGGGGTGTTTTTGACACCCTATTATTATATATTTGTTATAAATTTTATTACCACTAATAATTGGTAAATAGCATTTTTTGTCGTTATTTAAGTTTATTTTATAATAAACTGTTCCTAATATGAAAGAGTTATTTATTTTAAATTATACCATGTAAAAAAATATCTTTTTTTACCAACTTCAATTTGTATTTGGTCAAGTTTTGCATATAAACCATTTTTGTATACAAAAAATATGTATTTTGTCATAAAATTGTTTGATATTGAATAACTAGCATATGTACTACTCGGAATCAATCTGTGTGAATGGTAAAGGTACTAAAATTGACCACTAAAAAATTTGGTTTTTTGGGGAAAAACATAATGAAAACAAGTTTTGTGCAAACAAATCTATTTACATGTAAAAACACTTGTTTATTATTGAAATAAATATAAATAAACTATTTCCCTTAATTACTTTTAGAGTCTTTTGCAAAAAGAAAAAAAACCTTATACAGCAATTCGCATTTTTTACGAAACGTAAACACTCACGTGGGGAGATGAAAACACCCCATAAACTTACTTGGTAATACAAATGTATTACCAAGTGAACACTAGTGATCACATGGGGACTTTGGAAAACCCCAATATAATTGCAACTAATGCACAAGTGATCGCGCCGGTGTCTGGATATCCCAGAAGAGTTTTGACGTGACTGTACCTCTCGGAGACTGATGGGATACTGACAAAACCCAGTT